AAGCCTTTTCGAAATTGATACTTCTTTTTTAGGTACAGTCTTCTCTAAGGAGGTCGGTAATCATCACAGCTATTTCTACTTTTGAGATTGCAGCTCTGAACAAGTCGATGGAACTGCAGTTATACCACTTTCTCACTTTCTCCGATTGTTGAGCTAGGAGATGCGTCTTCTTCCAATACTTCGTTTTCCCTATAATATTCCCTGCATTATGGTTTGTAGCAACACATATTTATCCCCTCTCATAACGTGGTCAAGATATTGTAAATTTCTTATCTTAATAGTATTCATGATTTCCATTTCCTTTGTCATCCTTCTGAGAACCTCAACATTTGTTAATCGGTCTACCAAACTTCTTTAAGGTCCAGGCCTCCACCCCATACAGCAGCACCGAAAACACATAGAACATAATATTCTTATTTTGAGTTGCAAACTAAGGTCTCTACTGCAAATACTTTTCTCATCTTATTAAATGTTGCTCTAGCTTGTCCAATTCTCATTTTTATTTCTTCTGTATACTCGTTATTTTTATTAATAATTGTACCAAGATATCTGTATTTTTTTACTTTTTCTATTGGAACCCCTCTTATTTTTAAAATGTCTTGTTGTTGTGTTTTGAAAATTGTCATAAATTTTGTTTTATTAGCATTAAGCGTTAGTCCGCTTTCTTCAATAGCATTTACTACATTATCTAAGAGTAGCTGTAGATCTTGAAATTGATAAAAGCTATATAAATATCTTTACTGTGTTTGCGGCATTTTTAAACAAGTACATTTCAGCCAATAAGGGTTCTCAGCGTATTTCTAAATCCAAACTATATATATATATATATATATAATATATATATATATATATATATATATAATATATATATATATATATATATATATATATATATATATATACAGATTGAACCAAATTAAAACGGAACATACAATTTAATACATGTCTGTTTGAACTGCATTTGAAATAGTGGACCAATATAAAACTTGGACAAAAATAAATCCATACCTGGGTATAGACATTGTATAAAATATCGTTCAACTATCTGTCTCACAACAATGTTGTTTGCATAAGACGGGTTTGTCTTAAGGAAACGATAATGGTTCAGGAAATTAAGCTCGAAAAAAGTTAAAACCTCGCAATTTTTTCGTCCTGCATGTATCCAGTTGAAATTTTAACAGAAGGTAGGTGATAGCCCAAGGATCAAAATCTATATCAAACCGAAGTGCGCTGAAGGGTTTTAGGGGTGAAAACTAAACCTAATTGTCAAAAATTATAAAATAATATATTAAACCTGAATCTGGGTAAGATTTGGTTTGAATTAGTTACATAATAATTATTTTATACTTTTGAATAGAGTTCCATCATATTTCAACCCTTACAAAGCAACCCTTGTTAGAGATTAATGTAAAAAAATTACTAATTCTAAAAAAATGATTTCGCCTTGGATCAATTTGGATAAAAATTTGGATTTAAGCTCAATTCACCCGCTGCTTTATAGTTTATGTTATGTCGACGAACCCTGATTGTTCTTAGGGGTGAAAACTACCCCTAATTGTCAAAAATTATAAAATAACATATTAAACCTGAATATGGGTAAAATATGGTTTCATTTAATTAAATAATGATGGTTTCGTGCTTTTGAATAAAGTTCCATCATATTTCAGCCCTTAAAAAGCGACCCTTATTAGAGATTAATATAAAAAAATTAGTAATGCGAAGAAAATGATTTCACCTTGGGGTGAAAACTACCCATAATTTTCAAAAATTGTAAAATAATATTATAAATCTTAAGATGAGTGAAATTTGGTTAGGATTAGTTAAATAGTGGTTTTTATATACTTTAAAATACAAATTCATACATTTTCAACCCTTAAAAATCAATTGTTATGAGTGCTATCGGTGAAAACAATTTTTTGCCAAAATTTTGCAACTTTTCAACTTTTGAAAATCATCCTTTACAACATTGCAGTTTTTATAAACTAATTTATAAGATATAAATTGAAAAAAGTAGAATTAAATACAAAAAAATTTTTATCAACATAAAAAGGCACCATATATTCTTATACATTTACATAAATAGTTGAGAATATTTACATTTATAGGTAAAACAATTATAATATTAATCTTATTCGTCATCAATTACATCTTCATCGTGATCTATGTCTTCCTCATCTTCAATTATTGGTGGACTATTATTGCACCCTTCACTTGAGCACCCAGAACAAGTAGAGTTACAGTATAAACCAACAGGTTTATGCAGGTTGTTTGTTCATGCGTACGGGTAATAACAAACCATCTTTGGAATACCATCCCCAATCTGTTGCTCCGATATTTTCATTGCCAAGCCATAGACATATGAGCAGATGTTTTATTCTGTTGTATGGGATTTCAAAATTAGAACGCTTAAAATTTCGAATGTATAACGCGCCACTAGCTAATATACCGGTTTTGTAGATTATTATGCTCCTAAATGTACTGTACTATACTAATGGAATTTTCCGGAAAAAAATTCACTGTTTTTTTTAACGTATTTCATTTAATTTTAAACGATAGAGTGTTTCTTCAAAAACGATTTGTTGAGGTTTTTAAGAGCTACAAGGATCTGTGAATTAAATCTTTTTGGAACCCTTGGTTTTTAAATGGGGTGAGTTTAAAGGGCTCGAAAAAGATGGTGCTTGATCGTAAATCGATGCTTTAAACGGCTATATCTCGCCAAATATTCATTGCACAACAAATCTAAATAAAGGATAATTTTAGTCATTAAAAAAGCTACAATTTGGTAATTTTTATTTTTTTCATATATTCAGTATTTTCGGGCATATTTAAAAAAAAGAAGGGTAAAAAAATATGAAATTGTAAATCGTTTCTCGCTTTAAGCTGTACTTTTTTTAACACAAAGCATTTTAAATGTGTCAAACTTCTTGGACTTATTAACAATACATGTACAAAGGGAATTGCAGAAGTGTGAAGATCGATTTTAATTATGGGGGTGGTCATCGGTTTTTTCGTAAAAAATGAGGTATTGACCTTATTTTCATCATAACTCACTCAATTTTTGAGCTCTAGTCTTTTTTATGATATGTCTATTTATGCTTTTTAAAAAAGGTTTTGTGAGTTTTCTTCCAAAAATGCATCATTTTCCCGATATTTATTTGACTTTGAATCTTTCAAATTTGGCATTTGAAGAAAACCGCTGAACATTGATAGGCCGTATTTTGGTTCCTATTATACCACAAAAACATTTTAAAAATGAATTGTATTTGTCTTTTTAAAAGCTACAAATTTGTTCTCTACAATTTTTTTGATAAAATGCACCATTTTCGAGTTATTCGCGAAAAATCGATTAAAAACGTGGATTTTTTCGTCTAGAAGTTGTTACTTTCAATCGCGAATAACTTGAAAAATATCATTTTATAAAAAAAATGTATAGCACATTTTTTGTTTAGAATCACTCTTTTAATCGAAACCTGTAGTTAAAACGTAAAAAAAATTTTCACCCCAGAGATGGGGTGGCAACCACTCCCTAGGCTTTGGCGCACTTTGGTTCGATATAGATTTTGATCCTTAGGCTATTACCTACCTTCTGTTAAATTTCAAGTCAATCCACGAGGCACGAAAAAATTGCGAGGTGAAATACTTCATTTCCTGGACTATAACTGGTTTGACAGCATAAATCGTAGATTTATGTGTAGCTTTCAATTTTTATGAGTTCAGAATCCAGCAGCCCGCTGAAGTATGGGATTTTTATAACATAATTATTTGACAATCTTTTGTTGGCCAACCACCTACAGCAGAATTTAGCCGAAATACATTATATTCCTATGTTCCGAATTTATTTCGTTCAATCTGTATATATATATATATATATATATATATATAATATATATATATATATATATATATAATATATATATATATATATATATATAATATATATATATATATATAGAGAGAGAGAGAGAGAGAGAGAGAGAGAGAGAGAGAGAAAAGGAGCACGACCGTCAATCCAATATAAAATAAGTATCCCTCGAAGAGTGGCGGGTTTTTCGGTCAAGGATTGGAGAAAAAGACAAAGATGATGGCTACTTCATCTATTTATTGAAAACGTTTCGCTATCCAATTTGATAGCATCATTAGTTCATCTAAAAAGAACAATATGAAAAACCTAACATCCAATGAAAAGCTATTAAGTATGTTACCTCAAACAGATATGTAGCAGTCAAAGATATTCACAATTATTGTAAAGAAGCTTACGACAATGGACATTGTATAATTATGTTGTATAAACAATAAATTGAACTAAATATAGTTAACAATTTTCATAAAATTAGCACAGCAAAAAAACCATGTGGTAGTTGTACATGTATGTTAAAAAAATATATAGGTAAAAAACTATATATATATATATATATATATATATATATATATATATATATATGTATATATATATATATATATATATATATATATACTATATGTTTTTTACCTATATATTGTTTTAACATACATGTACCACTACCACATGTTTTTTTTTGCTGTGCTTATTTTATAAAAATTGTTAACTATATTTAGTTCAATTTATTGTTTATACAACATAATTATACAATGTCCATTGTCGTAAGCTTTTTTACAATAATTGTGAATATCTTTGACTGCTACATATCTTTTTGACGTAACATACTTAATAGCTTTTCATTGGATGTTAGGTTTTTCATATTGTTCTTTTTAAATGAACTGATGATGCTATCAAATTGGATAGCGAAACGTTTTCAATAAATAGATGAATAGCCATCATCTTTGTCTTTTTCTCCAATCCTTGACTTGACCGAAAAACCCGCCACTCTTCGAGTGATCCTTATTATATATATATATATATATATATATTATATATATATATATATATATATATATATATATATATATATATATATATATATACATATTATATTACCTTAAAATTTTGGTTATAATTTATACATATTTTTTTTTTATTTTAGGAATACTGATTGTCTACTGCGTTGGACCATTCGTACCAATATGGGTTCCATGCTTATTAGGAGTCTTAATAAATCTTATCGGATTAACCATTTTCCTATTTCAGCCAGAATCTCCATATTATCTTTTATACAAAAATAAATATGAAGAAGCTAAGCAGTCGCTTAGAAAACTTCGAAAAAGAGACGATATTGAAGATGAATTGCGAGATATAACTGTAGCCATTGAACGGCAAAAAAATGAAAAAGGTAGATTTCAAGATTTAATTTTAATACCCAGCAATAGAAAAGCATTAATTATAATGGTAATGCTAAATAGTTCTCAACACGCGAGTAGTATCAGCGTAATGTTAATGAATCTTCAATCGATTTTGGAAGAAGCAGGTTCTACGTACATTCCAGCATATACAGGAGCTATACTTTTTTCTGCAACTATGTTTATAGCAGCAATGTCCGCTTCGTTAGCTATTGATAATTTTGGTAGAAGAATGTTACTTTGTATCTCTGGTGTAATGGCTGGCATTACTCTTATAATTATAGGAATCTACTTCACACTTAAGAATTCTGGGGTAGATACTAAATCCTTTAGTTGGTTACCGCTCGCAATGGTACTAGTTTACGCAGCATCTTTTAAATTTGGTATAGGCTTAGTTCCCGTAGTTATGACAGCTGAACTATTTCCGGCTAAAGTTAAAGCATTTGGAATGACGTTATCTGATCTTAGCTACGTAGGATTTTGCGTCATTAGTCTTCAAATTTATCATGGTTTAAGGCACGCGTTTGGTATACATGTACCATTTTTCATATTTGCTTGTTCCTGTTTTTGTACAGTAATTTTTACTTTATGTTATATACCAGAGACTAAGGGAAAAACTTTGGAAGAAATTCAAATGATATTAAAAGGCGAGGTTGTATTAAATACTTCAATACCTATTGAAAATTTAAAACAACAAAAATGTGATAAACAGTCTTATAATAACAAAGGTTTTATACCATAATACTGTACTTACTTTGTACTGCATTTTTTTATGTACTACAACTATTATTATAACGTATTTCCATAAAAATAAAAATTATTTTATTATCTGTTTTTACACAATGTATTTTTTATTGTAGAAAAATGTTTTAGTAAATACGAATATAATCTATGGGATAATTTGTATGGTGTGTGGAATGTAGAATCTTTTGGTTATTGTTGAGATGTGTTTTAGTCAAACCAATATACAGAAAGTATAAACAGTGTTATTGATTAATTGATGAGTAAGTGTTTAACAAAAATTAATGCACAATTTTAAAAAATGCAAAGGAAATAAGATAAAATCATACAATAGTCTCAATTGGAAATAACGATTTATTAAACAAATTGTAAAGATAAACGTTATAATCAAAAACCAGATAATTTTATTATATTTAATTATATATTATTTTATATATAATTATAAAAAATTTCAGAATTATTGAAATAATAGACGCCAAATTGGACATAAATGAAATAAAAAAAACAATGTTTACTCCAGTCGTCAGAGACGACTCAAGACCGTCAGAGACGCCAAGACGTCAGAGAATTATACGAACAAGCTGAATTTAGTTGAGAGTTGAGAATGTGAATTCTAGAATTCCAAAAAATATGTCGATTTACCAAGAATCTTTATATCTTAGAAAAAAATAATTCAAATAAAAAATGTGGTCTGACATAACTCAGAAACAACACTACATAATTCATAAACAAAGCTTGAACTAACCGGCAATTTTGAATGTCAGTTACGCGCAAGAAATAATTTTTTTAATAAAATTTGTATCACTCGACTGTAAAAATTTTATATCTTATGATCAGAGTTACCTATCGACACAACTAAAATTTTTTTTAAAGATGAAGGACGCAGTTTTTGTATACAATTTTTCTATTTTACCAGAAATGAAGTCAGTTTTTATAAATATGTTAAATAAACAAACGTTGCCGATTTTTCAATTTTTTTTTTGAATTCATGAGAATAATAAAAATTGATCACTTTCATTGACCGGCCACTATGTGAATTTCCATTGATAGCGCCTACTATTCATGAAAAATTTCGGTTCTGATTTTTGACAAGAAATGTAAGATATTTTAATTAAGCCTAAAAACCCCTGAAAGGTAACTACCAAGTTGACTGCTACCTCTCAGGACATAAAGTTTCCTTTTTTGGGTTGGAAAATAGTACGATCCCGTAAAAAATGTAATCCTTTATCATCGACCTGATGTCTTATTAATTATAATCTTGTAACAATAAAACACTAAAAACGTTGTTTTTAAACTTCCACAAAATTTATTTTAAACTCTTATCACTACAGCTATTTTAGCTGATTGCCTTTCTCAAGTGATCTATTTTTGGCATGCGTTTACACTTTAAAGCCTTTAATGAAATAGGTTGAGGAGGAGAGAACTGTTTGTCTCAAGTTGGTTATTCAGAATTATGTCTGTGTTTTTTAATTTGTTGATTTCCATAGATTCTAACAAAGATAGTTTAAGGCCTTTATTTTGAATGTCAAGAATTTTAAATTCGTCATTAAAAGAATGATTAGGATCTAGAAGGTAAAGTGCGTATGTAGAATCTGTTTTTCTATTATTGAAAGCCCTTTTATGTTCTGCTATTTTTTTATTAAATTTTCTACCAAATTTACCGATGTAAGTTTTTGGGCAGTCGCCACATTTAAGTTTGTACACACCACTGTGTAAGTGTTTTTTATTTTGGATCTTGTTGTTTTTAATATATTTGCTTAAGTTGTTATGTGTTCTGAAAGCTGGTGTTATTCCTTTCTTTTTTATGTGTTTGGCTATTTGACCCCAAACCCCCCCCCCGGGGCGCCGTTGATTAGAGAGTGTTAAATATTTAGAACAGTTATGAATTTGGCTATGTATATCTATAGAATTTTTTGCCTATCAGTATGCCAATACGTAGGCTCTCCAGCATTATGATAAATACTTTTAAATAATTTTTGTCCACGTGAGGTTATGATTCTGAAAATCCATTTATGATGTTTGGCATTATAATCTCTATCAGTAATAAAAAGGTGTCCGAGCATCTTAAAATATTCAGTAAAATGATTAACTTTAATTATTTTATTCGGTGGACAGTAAAAAGCAGATAGAATAATCGGGCCTTGTGAATCTTCGACCGATACTGATGTAGCTTGGATGTTAACGTTACTAATTTTTGTTTATTTCAAATTTTTGTACTTTCTTTGTGCCTCTTTTCTTAATGTTGAAGATGTCAGTGCTGTATGTCCGTGCACCAGCAACGCTTTTTAATGTCATCTGGATCTGTGGAAGGATGTCAATTACAAATAACAACTCAGCTTGAACTTTAATTTGGTTGTTAGCAAGACATTTTAAAGTATATTTGCCTGGAGTTATCTGCTGTAGTAATTGCTTTAATGGTTTGATACACTCGACATTTTGTATAAATATAGGGGGAGGCTGTTCATCTTTTTGATCTTCCAGCATTTCAACCTCTTCACTAGGTTTATGATTTTCAAGGGCCTCGTATCTGTTAAGTGTAAGAAAAGTTTTACTTAGCCAATAATGTAACAATAAAACACTAAAAACTTTGTTTTTAAACTTCCACAAAATTTATTTTAATCTCTTATTACTACAACTGTTTCGGTTGATTGCCTTTCTCAAGTGCCAGGTCTATTTTTGCCAGGCCTTCACATTTTATAGTCTCTAATGAAATAGGTTGAGAAGGGGAGAACTGTTTGTCTCAAGTTGGTCATTCAGAACTATATCTGTGTTTTTTAATTTGTTGATTTCCATAGATTCTAACAGGGATAGCTTAAGGCCTTTATTTTGAATGTAAAGAATTTTAAATTCGACATTAAAAGAATGATTGTGATCTAGAAGGTGAAGTGCATAAATAGAATCTGTTTTTCTATTATTGAAAGCCCATTTATGTTCTGCTATTCGTTTATTAAAGTTTCTACCAGTTTGACGATGACGATGTAAGTTTTTGGGCAATCGCCACATTTAAGTTTGTACACAGCACTTTGTAAGTGTTTTTTTATTTGGGCTCTTGTTGTTTTTGATATATTTGCCTAGGTTTTTATTTATCCGAAAAGCTGGTGTTATTCCTTTCTTTTTTATTTGTTTGGCTATTTTAGTTGATATTTTGCCTGTATATGTAATCGAGCAGAAAGTACTGGGTTTTTGCTCTGGTAGTGGAAATACTA